GGGGTCCTATTCGTGAAGCGAGTCATTTGGGCGAAGATCACGATGCTGCACCAGTTTTACGAACAGTGAATGAAAGGTATCATGTGATAACACATACAAAGTTATTGTGCATCCTCTTTTGACACGTTTTTGCTATAATAGGCGGATCCAGGCGTCCAAAAAGGGGGGTTATTTTTTACCTCCCAACATAGGTGCCCTGACACCGCCTATGCATGACCAATACAATTTTAGTCGTTCTCTCATAAGAAAATTGTAACATAACAAGACCATTGCCACCCTTTTTAGAAAAGTACCAACAAAAACCTTATTTACTATACCTACTTTTTGTGTACCCCCAATCTCAATGATCTGTATGCGCCTATGATTTTTGAAAATGCATATTTTTAGGATCCATGTGAATTCCTGGTTCATTCTCTATCGATCGGCAAAAGTTGCGTTAAGATTGGTTCAGAAACCTGGCCGTGATAAACAGTCTAAAATGTATCTGTAATTTGCCCGTTTTTACCCCCCTCTACCCCCCTATTGACATTTTTTGATTTTATTTTTTTTAGAAATGTAGATCTCGTTGAGCCAAATCCAATGCCGTTTGAATTTTGAAAATCGGCCGGTTAGATCTCGAGATATCAAGGGGGGGGGGTCGTAAACAGCCCCCCCCCTGCCACTAATATGGGGTAGCCAGGAGCCTGCCACTAATAGGGTTAATGGCCAGGGAAAAACAAGGTCGGGATTTGATTAGCCTCGCAAAATGGTCACAGGGGAAGGCGGCTCGGTGGTATTACGTCTGTCATGCTCAGCCGCGCCAAATAGTAGAAATATGCACAGTGTATACAAAAAATATATACATTTTTTCCGGGCAAGACCATTGTGAGGCCCTAGCGTCAACTTATAAGACAAAACCCTTTTGGCTCATCTGTTTTTCGTCAATAACTCCCGATCAACTAAAGCTACCGAGTCGATAAAGCCACTAATGGACATGGAAAGACCTGCCAAATCGATTGATATGCAATATGACCTCCTTTGACCAGCTTCGTGACCTGACGGGCTGTGACCTGACCTTGACCCAAAGTTAACACCTTAAGTTGATCTCACCCGAAGAAAAAGTATACCATTCGACACGCCTGAGCTAGACAAACACGACGCGGCTAAAATCGCGGATCTGCGATCATTTTTAGCGAAGTTATTTACCAAAAACCGAACCTGTGCCTTGGACCACTTGACCTGACCTCAGAAGTCATCGGCTGACCCTAGTCCTTAAAATCGGAGATCAATCGCTGCATTTCGTAACGACGGACACGATCGTTTCTTTCGTGAGGCTCTAGCTCAATTAGGGGCGAATCGGCGAAGGGGGTTGTTCCCTCAGTTCCAACCCCCCCAACGCCCCCTCGGTATTAAGAAAACCTGAAACCTGGTGAGGGTTAAAACGTTGCTCCTGAACGAGGAAGAAATGTAAAAGTCAAAGATCTATAGACGTCCTGTAAAAATGGCCATAATAAATAAATTGGTTAGAGATAAGATGCTTTTTGAACGACTTTCTCATATAAAATCGGGTGCTGGAACCAATCTCATAAACGCTTTAGAATGGACAGGGCGTCACTGGCTTATGTTTGGGTGCAGAAAACGGCTATTAAATGCAAAATGGTTTTCACGCATTTCAGTCAATTGTATATTAACGGTCCTAGTGGCCGAACTAAAAAAGTTCGGTAGCGTTTTGCATCTGTTACGCCCTAAGAAACTACACCATCTGTTGAAGTGGGCGGCCTTATTTGAATGGGAGGGCGCATTATGCATCAATCGTGTGCTTCCGTTTGTTTTGGACTGCATTTTACCACATCCACTGCTGTGGTAAAATGCAGTGAATACGACATTATCTAATGCCGTGAATACGACAGCATTTCATTTATGAGATTGGGACAATGGAGTCGCGCCCCGCGAGCTCGGTTTTCCGCTCGGCCGCTACGGGCCGAGGAAGTCGATCTTCGCCTGAGGGCAGGACGGAGGTCAGCGAGGGAGCGCGGGGTCAGCCAGGTATCGCCCAGTGCCGAGCGAGTGCCGCTCCCTCCCCTCTCTTCCCCTCTTCTCCCCTCCCCACCTCGGTATAGATGGGGAGGGACCGAACTGCCAATGACATGCGAGCGGTCAAGGCCGCTCGCGCAGCAGCGACCCTGGCGGCCGGGTGCCGCAACTGGGATTCAGCCAAGTTACCGATTCGCCTCCTGTGGGAGAGCCAAACCAGGGGACATACTTTTTAGATATACTGTACATATATCATTCGATGCGTCTTGACGAGCTGAACACGATGAGACCACTCGCGCGGCTGTATCTTGTTCATGTGAGGAGTTATTAGCAAAAAAAAACCTTTGGTGACCCTTGATGACGTCACATGGCCTTACAGCCGCCCAAGAGCAAAAAAGGCCTTAACCCGGCAGGCGGTGGGCCTACCAGCCACCTTCCGCGCGGGGGGGCACTTTTTTGCCCCCCCCCCCGTATCTCCGAAACTACTAGACGGATCCGGAAAATTCAAACGGCGTTCGATAGCCCTGTCAAATTTGTCGAGGGAAACCAAATTTCATTGACCTCGGGGTCACCGATGACGTCAAAGGTCAGGTCAAAGACAAAATGTTTCACCGTTCACGGGGCTTCTAGGGAAAGCGCTATAACACCGAGTAAAACGCATTTTGTCGAAAATCAGCAATAAGGCGTCAGTTGTCTAGTACATATGTTGCTATTAGAGGTCACTGGTCATACCAGGTCAGGTCACAGGTCAGGTCACCAAAGGTCACCAAGGGTCACCACTTGAGCCCAACTTTACTAAGGTTATGCGATGCATGTTTTATGGCCAGTTTTTCATTTCCAACTCAATGGTGTTGGTTATAAGACCATCAGGTACGGTTTAGGTCACTTTTTGGTGGAGGTCAGGTCAAGGTCAGGTCAAAAAAGGTCAAATTTCAAAGTTGATATTTCTGCATAAAATGGGTATCGATTCGATGCAGCTCGTCACGGGAAGTTTAATGGTGGTCTTTGTTTTGCGCTACGAGGTCTAGAATTGCTACAAATTGAGTTTGAAAATTTGACGTCATCAATTTTGAACAGTTTTTTCGCTATAACTTGGCCAAAAATCGAGGTATCGATCTCAAATTCGGTATGTAGATAGAATGCTTTAGGGGCTATCACACATATTCCGGTTTTTTCGAAATTCTTTTTTTTTTTGGATTTTTTGGCTATTATATTCAAAAAATCTATTTTTTGATTTTGGGGGTCAAAATCCAAAAAATTCGAATAATCTAAATAGCAGTTTTGTAGCCCTTTTAATTCCACACCTTTTATGTCGGAAACATTTTTCTGTATCTCTAAAGCTGTAGGCCTGAGAGCTCTTCCCGCGAAACCTGTTTTTTGGTCGAAAATGGCAAAAATGACGTCACTCTGACGTCATTAGCGGCCAACCTATCATAGCCTTTGGAAAAAAATTTTGGTCACCATGTGCGCTAGCTGCTCCCGGGAGGGTACTGAAAGTTTGGTGACGATCGGCGCAGCGGTTCTTGAGATATATCGAAAAAACTAAAGGGGGGGCAAAAAAATGCCCCCCCCCCACCGCCTGGAAGGTTAACCCTATTAGTGGCAGGGGGGTGTTTTTATCCACCCCTCAGGTTTTTCGGGAATATCTCCGAAACCGCTGAAGCTACGATGCTGAAATTTTCTGACTTTTCCTAAAACTAAATTGGGCACATTCCCTAAAAATTTCAAGTTCATAACGTTACCAGGGGCGGCTCCAGAGCACTGGGAATTAGGGGGCCCTATTCGTGAAGCGAGTCATTTGGGCGAAGATCACGATGCTGCACCAGTTTTACGAACAGTGAATGAAAGGTATCATGTGATAACATATGGACCACGTTTCCATGGGCATCACTGATCCGGATCAGTAAAAATGGATTAGCTAATCCAGTATAGTTAGACAGTATATGAAAATGAAAATAAGGGATTAACTGGTTATATAAGCCTAATCCACTTTGAATTATATCATGTAACGAAGAGTTCGAGAAATATTATACGATTTAAATTTGCTGATCCGGATCAGTGATGCCCATGGAAACGGGGTCATACAGTTATTGTGCATCCTCTTTTGACACGTTTTTGCTATAATAGGCGGATCCAGGCGTCCAAAAAGGGGGGTTATGTTTTACCTCCCAACATAGGTGCCCTGACACCGCCTATGCATGACCAATACAATTGTAGTCGTTCTCTCATAAGAAAATTGTAACATAACAAGACCATTACCACCCTTGTATCGAGAGTACATGAACCTCCAGGCTCCACAAATCAAACTATTAAAACAGTTACATTAAAGAATTCCTGGTTCATTCTCTATCGATCGGCAAAAGTTGCGTTAAGATTGGTTCAGAAACCTGGCCGTGATAAACAGTCTAAAATCCCTAGTGAAAAAATCTTACAGGGTATGGTTGACCCTACAGGATTTTTGACGAAATTGTTACCAGGGTTCCTACAGGGTATCGTACAGGGTACCGTGCACGGTGTCGTACAGGGTACCGTACACGGTGTCGTACACGGCGTCGTACAGGGTGCCGTGCACGGTTTCGTACAGGGTGCCGTGCACGGTATCGTACAGGGTGCCGTGCACGGTGTCGTACAGGGTGCCGTGCACGGTGTCGTACAGGGTACCCTGCACGGTGTCGTACAGGGTGCCGTGCACGGTGTCGTACAGGGTGCCGTGCACGGTGTCGTACATGATACCGTGCACGGTGTCGTACAGGATGCCGTGCACGGTGTCGTAAAGGGTACCGTGCACGGTGTCGTACAGGGTACCGTGCACGGTGTGGTACAGGGTGCCGTGCACGGTGTCGTACAGGGTATCGTAAAGGATCTCGTACAGGGCACCACACTCGCCTTTCTATAAGTATTCCGCATCTTGTTATTGTGCTGTTGAGCCGATTGACCAGGAATGCTAAAAAGACCCACGAGTTTCCGCGTTACCGACAAAGTCAATATTCGGAATAAATGTATTTCTGGGATAAATACACAGCCATTTCCGGGTCACATCCCGTCACATTACGACACACGTCGTCGCGTCGCGGCTGCCGCTCCGTCCATCGATCTACGAATCTCGAGTGGTGGTGTCGCCCGACGATCCTCGCATCCTGCGTTCCTGTAACAAGGTGGATATTCACATGTTACAATGATAATATATTGATTGAAGGGACCCCTGCCGTCGAAAGTAACTAATCGGCATATAAGTGATACATACAACGCGATACAAAGTGATCGGCATACAACATTATTTTGATGTTGTATCACACTATTGCATACCTATCAATCTCCTATCAACCAAATACAACGCAAATTCAACGTGAAATAAACGCTGGATCGATGTCGAAAAACGGTTGATCCTCAATGTTGACAATCAACCTGGATATAACCAATTTTTAATATTGAATTAATGTTGTGTGCTACTATGTAGTAGCGTCGACGCTACTAATGCGCTCTGGTATCTGATAGTAGACATTTAAATGTCTATTTTTTCAGCTATCTTTTTCGATCAGCTATTTTTGAGTGAACGTTTCGGCGCCATTTTTTTTTTTGTCTGTAATGCTGCCAATATTGAGAACAATTTTCGTATTGTTACACAGCAATACAGCATGGCAGAAACTTACCTTCAGGTCGGAAGAAGAGACGGCAGACGACACCGCACGGCACACACTCGACAGTTCCGTCGGCTCTCCGCACACCGCGAGCGAGCAGTGAATGGGACGGACGGAATGCGGCGGAGGGGGACGCGCGCTCCCCTCTCCGCCCCAGGCGAGGATCGGGACGCCCGCCGCCGACCGTACGGTCTCTAAAACGGACAGTGGTCGCTAAATTCCAGTCGGTACAGTCTCTGAAAGATCACCACAGCGCACAAATGCACACTAGTTAGTCCCCGAATAATACAGTACAGCAACGCGTCAAATTAAGTTGATAATGTTATGAAGGGATTAGGGAGTTATGAAGTGAATCGATTCTTTTATAGGGATCAATTCACAATTCGTAATTCCCTATATATCGGGACAATGTTGACAACAACATTCGAATGCTTATGTCCCCGCCAGTTCTAATAATGAGCAGTACCGTCCTGAGGAGATGAATAAATCCCGGTAGGTTGCAGATTGTCCATTGTCCATTGTGTCCATTGTCCAACATATCAACGCACCGGGGCGAGGCATTTCTCCCTAGGTAGGTACTCCTCATACTTTACTTGACAGGTGTTTATAATGAGAACAGTTTATAACTGTTCTCCACGTAGTCCGTGTGGAGCAAATGATCGCATTTGCTTGAGAGTTAAGCGAGCTCTTTAATTATGATTTGTGCGAAAAACGATTAGCGGGAGTAGCCTTCCATGGGATCAGCACATTCTTGTAAGATTCTTCAATCTTACCAGAATCAGCATTCTCGCAAGAATCTGCCTATGCCAGGCAGATTCTTATAAGATCTGTATGATGTTGGCCAATCTTGTACAAGCTCTGCTAGGCCTTGCAAGACTGTCTTCAAAATCTTATAAGATCATGCAAGATAGTGAAGATTCTGGTAAAATCGTATAAAACTTTTTCACATGGGTGCGTACATGGCTCCCTGTATTACTGCGTACAGGGCTCCCTGTATGACTGCGTACAGGGCTCCCTGTATGACTGCGTACAGGGCTCCCTGTATGACTGCGCACAGGGCTCCCTGTATGACTGCGCACAGGGCTCCCTGTATCATTGCATACAGGGCTCCCTGAAGGATTCCCTACAGGGCCCTGTAGGATTCCCTATAGGGCTCCCTATCAGATGCCGTACAGGGCTCCTTGTAGGATTCAGTACAGGGTCCCCTGTTGGATGTCGTGCAGGGCACCCTGTAGGATTCCATGTACAGCCATATTTGCCTGCATGAAATCCTGTACGGCTACTCCAGCAACCCTGCACGACCCTGTAGGGACGTACAGGATTTTGGTACAAATCCTGTAGGATTTTTTCACTAGGGATGTATCTGCAATTTGCCCGTTTTTACCCCCCTCTACCTCCCTATTGACATTTTTTAATTTTTATTTTTTAGAAATGTAGATCACGTTGAGCGAAATCGAATGCCGTTTGAATTTTGAAAATCGGCCCGTTAGATCTCGAGATATCAAGGGGGGGGGGGGTCGTAAACAGCCCCCCTGCCACTAATAGGGGTAGCCAGGAGCCTGCCACTAATAGGGTTAAGGTAGTCAGGGTTGATCGTATATAAGGTCATTCATGGTATATTGGGCCATTCCCACGCGTTTTAGTGAGGATAAAACAGGGAGTTTTTCCCCATTGACTTATAAGGGGATGTCAAGAAATAGACCTGACCTTAGGTCATCGATATAAAAATTCCGAGATAAACAAATTGTAGCTATTAATGTCCTCGTTACATCATGTAACTTTCAAAGGCCTCCGCATCTAGATACTGTAGCTCTGGCACGGTGACAAAATTGCAAAAAAGTGATTTGTGGTTGGGTCATTCTAAGTGACCTGGCGACCTGACCTTGAAATATAGAAGGTTCAAACTTGCACACCATGTGTGAAATTGATGAGGAAAAAGTCATGCCAAATTTCCGCGCTATTCACGAAAAACCTCAGGGGGTGGTCAACCACTCCCCTCCGTCGCGACTGCGCGGGTTAAGCCGCGCCCCACTGGGGTCTGTGTATAACACGCCCTACTGGGGGGGGGGGGGGCTATTCATAGCCCCCCCTCCTAACTCCGAAACTACTGGGCCGATCGTCAAAATTCAAACGGCGTCTGATAGCCCCGGAAAAACTGTCGAACGAAACCTAATTTCATTGACCTCGAGGTCACTGATGACGTCACAGGTCAGGTCAAAGTAAAAATTATTAGCACTTTGGCTTGTTCACATTTTGGACTCTGGCCGCCGTCTTACAAGTCAGATCAGGCTCATTTTTGGTTTCCACACTCGTGAACAGATGCTCTAGATACCTTGAGGGTACCAAACTTGTACTTTGATTTTCAGGTCAGGGTCAGGTCATCACAGGTCACGAAAATATTATATCATGCGTCGGTCACGTGACACATGTTTTATGGTCCATTTAGGCCATAGATTTCGAATTTGATGTCGTCTGTGTCATTCAAGGTCATTTTGAGTCGAATTTAGCTTAGGTCAGGTCACTTTCAGGTCAAAAAAGGTCAAATTTTGAAGTTAAAATTTTTCAACAAAAAAGGTGTCTATTGGATGCAGTTTGAGCTCAGGAACACGATGGTGCCATTTATATTGGTGTACGATGTCAAATACGTACTGAAAAATTGATTTGAAAAATTAATAATTGTGAATTTTTTGCAATAATGCGTATAACTTGGTCATTTTTGAAGATATTTAGCTAAAACTTGCTAGAGTTAGTCATAATCATGCGTTCTGTCACATATATTCCGGTTTTTTTCGAAAAGTCAAAAAAAAAATTGAAAAAAATATAAAAATATAAATTTTGAATATTATTATATAAAATTTTTCGCAATTTTCAAAATTTTGAAAATCCGAGATAGCAGTTTGATAGCGCGGTCAATTCTGAGTCCTTTCATGCAAAGAAATTGGATCTAGCTTAAAAACTGAGCTCTTGGGAGCGATTGCCGTGGTTCAATGTTTTGCGTCGAAATCGGACGAACATGACGTCACTCTGACGTCATTTCCGGCCGACCTATTGCAGCTACGAAGTTCAAATTTTGACACAAGGTGTCAAATTGATGCAGCCGAAGGTACTTAAAGTTTGGCGTTGATACGTCAAGCGGTTTGGAAGTTATTGCAGAAAAACGGGAGGGGGGGCTATAAATAGCCCCCCCCCCCAGTGGGGCGCGGGTTAATTAAGTGGGATTACATACGGATATGACGAGGTCGGGCAGTCACTGTTAGGTACAGGTCTCGCGGGTTTTAGCGGTAGGTTTTGCACCTAGAAAAATTTAGTGTACTTCAGGCTATATCTTCGTCGTCTTAAGCTTTTAAGTGTTGAAGATGCGATCGACTTGTTGGGTAACAAGCCGGCCATGATCGTGTAAAATGGCTTCATCGTAGATCGATTAGTTTCTGAGATATAACCGGAAATGTAAAAGTGCAAAACCTACCGCTTAATCTCGCGAGACCTGTACCCCTGCCAGGCGCTGCCAGGTGGTGACACAGCGGCGCTCATAGCCACCGACCGAACCAGACAGAGCAGCAGTGGCGGATCCAGGGGGGGGGGCAAAATGGGCATTTGCCCCTCCCAAACGGCATAATTTTAACATTACGCCAATGGACGAGGCATGGAAAGAATCGATAAATTGTTATGGTTTGCCCCCCCCCCCCAAAAAAAAAAACTCTGAGCTGGATCCGCCACTGCAGAGCAGCGCCCCTCCACCGACCGAGACACGGCATCCCTCCATCGACCGACCACCGACCCAGGCACAGGCACGCTTCCACCGACCGAGACACAGCACCCCTCCACCGACCGAGACACAGCGGCGCCCCTCCACCGACCGAGACACAGCACCCCTCCACCGACCGAGACACAGCACCCCTCCACCGACCGAGACACAGCACCCCTCCACCGACCGAGACACAGCGGCGCCCCTCCACCGACCGAGACACAGCACCCCTCCACCGACCGACCGAGACACAGCGGCGCCCCTCCACCGACCGACCTAGGCACGAAAACAAGGCGTTTCGTTGTAAGGAAAGCAATGGCATAAAACACTTAAATTGCAAAATCAATATGGGCTTTTAAAGTAGAAGCTTTCGACACCCTTGTTTCTCAGCGTTTTTGCTACTGCGCTCTGCTGAAAAGTGGATTCTATCAATATCCTCAGATTAAATTGAGCTTTATTGGAAAAGGCTTACCGGAAGTAGCTTAATGTAAAGGCAGGGATTGGTTTTTCGAGAGCCCACATTGATGAAATCTGAAGTGGCGTAACAAATCCAGGAAGGAAAGGACGAAAAGATTTAACAAAATGAAACCAGCCTGTAGCTGAGGGGACCGAATAAAGGCGGCAGCAGCTGTAGCCTGTCAAACAATGTGCGGCCTCTCTTCGTGTAAGTACTTACAAGTGATTATACATATAGAAGTTATAATTCTTGTAAGTGCAATACAAAATGACCATATCGTATCTGCAATCTGCACACCAAGAAATGCCTACATTGTATGGTTTTGTTTTGTTGGGGTCCAACAAGACCTGTTCAGAGCCGGGAGAATAATAGGAAATAGGGGGGGGGGGGGCATTGGTCTGGGTGGGCACCCTAGCCACCCGTCGGGGCTGAGCCCATCCAGTGGACAGGCCACCCAGCCCCTGACACTGGACCCGGCTATGGGCCTGCTCCTGGGGTGGAGCAGTATCGGGATAAAGTTACCCGTCCAGCCCGAAACAGGGGGTGGAGGCTTGGAGGAGAGGCAGCTGACTATTCTGAAGATGGAAACGACGGAACGGAGCAAGAAAGCATTTTTGTTAGCACATGCATACTGAAACTACATAAGTAGGGAGACTGTGGAGAAGTGAGCCATTGTTCGTAAGTACCTATGTATGTACATGAACTTTAAATCCACGCCCCGCATGGGGGGGGGCAATCTGCCCCTTCCCTCTTCCGTGTTCCGCCAATCGTGTGCGTGTCAAACAGCGTTTCATATAACAGCGAGTTAAAAACAGCGACAGATAACAGGGCCGCCGCCGGAGGCTCACCTGTGACGAGGGCGACCAGCGATGTGATGAAGGCGGCCAGCACGGCGCCGGCACCGCTGACCTCTACCACCACGTGGCTGGTGATCAGCAGGCAGCCCAGCGCGGCGACGGGCGCCGCGCCGGCGGCCAGCGCGGCGGCGGCCGCGGGCCAGCCGCCGGGCCGGCGGGCGCCGCCGGGGGGCGCCGGCCGCCGCCGCGCCGCCGCAGCCGCCAGCCGGCGCAGCGCCGAGGGCGCCGCGGGCAGCAATGACGCCATGGCCGGCTACATCACGGCCGCGCCGCCGGCGAGCACCAGTCAGAACCGCAGCCGGCGGCGGAGCCTGCGGCGGCAGAGAGCGCCGGTCAGAACCACAGCCGGCGGCAGAGAGCGCCGGTCAGAACCACAGCCGGCGGCAGAGAGCGCCGGTCAGAACCACAGCCGGCGGCAGAGAGCGCCGGTCAGAACCACAGCCGGCGGCAGAGAGCGCCGGTCAGAACCACAGCCGGCGGCAGAGAGCGCCGGT